TTTTCGCCGGAAAGACTTGGGCGATCTTCATGCAGAATTTAAGAAACGTTTTAATGAGCCTGGTCGAAGCGGGATTCACAATAAAACCAACGAAATGCGAATTCGGAATGAGACAAATGGGATTTCTGGGTCACATACTCAGTGAAGATGGAATCAGAATGGACCCCGAAAAGGTCACCGCGGTCTCCAAATTCAAACGGCCTCAAACAGAAAGACAATTAAGGTCATTCCTGGGATCAGCGAATTATTACCGCAAATTCATAATGGGATACGCACAGAAGACTTGCCACTTGTATGAGTTGCTGAGACAAGATAAACACGTGAAAAAGGACTGGACTGCAGTACATGAAGAAGAGTTCAATACTTTGAAGAAGTTGTTGTGTGAAGGTCCAGTACTGGCAAAGTTTGACCCCGCAAAACCGACCGTCATTGAATGCGACGCGAGCAAAGAAGGAATCGGAGCCGTACTGTCACAAGATGGACATCCGATCGCGTACGCCAGTCGTGTCCTACATGGAGCGGAGAAAAATTACGGTGTAACGGAATGGGAATGTCTGGCAGTAGTGTTCGCTGTCAGGAAATTTAAGCCGTATATCGATTACGCAGAATTCACCGTAAGGACGGATCATCAGGCGCTGACGAACTTGCTGAGGTCAGAAACGAATAAAGTGGGAATGAACCCGCGTTTGACACGATGGGCAATGGCATTACAAGGTCATCAGTTTAAAACTGAATACAAACCGGGAAAGTACTGTGACAATGCGGACGCGTTATCGAGAGCGCCGATCGAAGGGCCAACGTGCCAAGAGGAGGAATTTGATGAGATTCCAAATTTCGAGGACTACAAGAAGGAATTTGACACGAAAGAACCAGCAATTGAAATTTGACAGCTGTTCCTACAAATGATCGAACAGAGAGAGAGACGATTAAAGGTCACTTCAGTTACGGCGAATGAGTCGGCTGAAAACGAAGCGAAAGTGAACCGAGTGAAAAGCTGGTTGCCCACTGTCAGTGACTTAAAGGTCACCGGACTTGACGCGGAATCTAAAATGCAGAATGGAAAGGTCACGGGACTTAATGATAGAGCGGAGAACAGAGATGACCTTTGGGAAACGGATAATGTGGCACAAGCGTTGAACGAATGTCCGATCAAGTTCTTGAGATTCCCAAAACAGACGAAAAAGAGGTACAAACCGTTACCACGCTGCAAGGTCATCAAAGATTGGAATGAACTCAGCACGGCGACAGTCCGCATTGTTAACCTGCAAGGTGACGAGGAAGAAGAGGATGACTCGAATCTGCAGCTACGGAATAAACAGTTAAAAGATCCTCATCTGGCGATGATTATAGACGAATTGGAACGTCTACCAGACGCGAAAACAAGATCGAAAATCGAAGTACATTACCAGTTGTGGAACGGCATATTGTACTGAGTAAAAGATAAGAATGGGAAACTTGAAAGGTCATATGTCGTACCGTTGTCGATGCGAAGAGCGATTATCCACGCATTGCACGACGAGAAAGCGGCAGGACATCTGGGATTTGAAAAGACATTGTCTGCAATCCGACTACGATATTACTGGGACAGAATGAGCACCGACGTGAAGAATTACATTCTTGCGTGCCAAGGTTGCCAGTTCCGCAAAACACCGAGGAAATGCCCACCCGGTAAATTGCAAGATATAAAGGTCGGACATCCGTTCTTCCGGGTGTACGCTGATCTGAAAGGACCGTTGTTACCGACGAAGAAACGTGGATACAAGTACATAGCGGTATTTATCGACCAACTGACGAAATACGTGATCGCGGTACCGATGAAAACAGCAACGGCTAAAGAATTCGCTAAAGTGTTCGTGAAGCACGTGATATTGGTACACGGAGCACCGCACATCCTGCATACGGATCGCGGACGACACTTTACAGCTGAAGTATTGGCAAAGGTCACCAATGTGTTTAAGATTAAACACACATTCGGAACCGCATATCACCCAGAAGGTCAAGGCCAAGTTGAAAGGCAGATGCAGACAATTGCGGATGGCTTGGCGCAATACCTGAAAGCGGGAAATGAAAGAAAGTTTAACAAGTACCTCCCATACGTTATTTCGGCGATGAACAGAGTCCTACACGACACAACGGGATATTCAGCATACTATATGCTACACGGCAAAGAAATGACAATGCCGGAAGATGTGGTTACGAAAACGAATATACCCGACGATTATGGGACTCCAGACGAATGGGTGGAGACCATGAAAAAGAACTTGACCTTTGCCGAAGAAGTGACGAAATGCAACATTAAAGACGCTTATGAGAAGAATGCGGAGATTTACTACAAGAAGAAGTCGGAACCGAACTTCAAAGTGGGAGATTTCGTATTGATACGATTACCAAAGGATACGAAACAGGGGAAGAAAGAAACTCAATCGGACTTTAAGTCAAAATACGATAAAGGGTGGAAGATTCTCAGCTTCCCGCGAGCAAACGAAGCGGAGGTCATTGAGCAGAACCCGAAGAAAGAAGCAGACTTAAAGGTCGTCTCGATCGATCGGCTGAAACCATGGCACCCGCCCTTACCAGACGAGAAAGAGCAGGTAGCAGAGCATACCCTCCAAAAAGAGTCTTTTTTCGAACCACCTCTGCTACATGAAGTTAATGAAGAGACCAAAGGTCACCAAGACGGAGAGAAACCAAATAAGAAGAGAGGAAGAAAAAGGGAAGAAGATAAGGACTTCGAGACGGCAGTTACAATTAAGCTGAACGCAGAAGCTGGAAACTTGGCAGAAAGGTCACTGGAAAAAGAGACCGAACTAGGCTCCAAAGTACCAGAGCATACTTCCGAAAAGGACTTGCAACAATCCTTTTTCGAACCACGCACTGCTACCGGAGATAAGGATGACCTTTCGAAACGGCGAACTGGCGCTGAGATATCAGAGCGCGATTCGAATTTTTTCGAACCACGCACTGCTACCGGCAATGAGAATGATCTCATAAGAAAGAGAGAAGAGGAAATAGAGGCGGTCAAATCAAAAGCTGAACAATTGGGCCCTGATATAGCGAAAGCAATCAATGAGCGAAAGGTCAAGCAGAAGAAAAAGAAACCAACTCCTACGGAACTACTGACCCAAAAAGGCGAACCTGAGGATGCAGCCGAGAAGGAACTTCTTGATCGGATAACTAAAGGACGCGAGAACAAATAACCACATGGACATAAATAAGGGGTCACATTAGATTAAAAATAGGAGTTGGGAAGGCAAAAAGAAAGGTCACCACTGTGCAAAAAGTTAACCTTTATTGTTTCATTTTTATAGAAGGTAAGCACAGTTAATGGAAAGACTGGAACGGCAAAACTCGGATAATTCTGATTCGGAAAGTATTGGAAACCCATTAAAAGCATCGACACTTATAAGAATGGAAGGTGAATACGGCTATGACACCACATATGGTGAAGGATCGATGTCGTCAGTGGGAACGGCTCAGAATGAACCGGGAACAGTTCAAGGAGGTTACTACAGCGGCACAGGGTATTACGTGTATCACGATCCAGGACAGCAGACGAATTATCAGGACACGGTTAACTGGGTGCACCACGGCTCACCTGCCGGAACCCAGTATTCGGGACAAGCAACGGGCGCTCCCTATCAACCGTATCCGGGATCGTATACTCCACCGGGATCATCGCAGGTGATAATGGGACCGGCAAGAATGTTGATGCCGCCACCACAACAGACTACACCGAGTCGATTTACGGGACACGGAGGATTCGGCGGAATGCTAGCGACTCCGGTACAGTCACAAAGGTCATCTCCGATATTACCGCCTTTTCCGGAGACGGGAGGCTTGTCATTGTCGGACATAGGAACGCCTCGCATGAGAACACCGCAGCAACTTGGAGCGCAGCGCCCTCATCGTAATTCGCCACACAGAGGAGGAAGGCGACCGAGAGGCATTTTACCGTCACTGGGTCCCAACTTGGAACAGACTGGACCAGATGGTTTACGGCTTACGCCCCCAGGCGAACCCTCAATACATGAATACGCACCGAAGCTTCCTTTGGACTTGAGAGACGATGACCCAAACCTGAATTTAATAGTGGATAAAAAGGAAAAACTGACGGAAACCGATTTAGAAGCCATTCGCGACTTCAATCGGAAATGCCGTGACCTTTACAGAATCCACATGCGAGTTGAAGACAAACACGCATGGTATGGGAAGTTAATCAGCTTGGAAGCTGTTATCAAACCATGCCACATTGCCATGAAAGATAAGACGAAGCAGGTTGAAGCAAAGCGTAAGGAATACGCAATCCAAGTTGCATCGATGTGGCAATATCATCCGACAATAAAAGGTAGAAAGTGGCCGGAAACTGTCGAAAAGATTCTTAGATATCTCAAGGTGCTCCCAGAGACAAGACAGACGCCGACTACCAGCGTCGCGGGACCACCCAAACCCGTAGCTGAAAAGGACGCCCCGGTCGATGAAATGACGGATGAGCACCTTTTGGCAACGAAGAGGAAGATCGACGCCGAATTAACTGAACGAGCAGAAAGGTCACGGGCCAGCTCGACCGCAGGATCAGTACGTGGACGCACTAGTTCGGTTACAGAACCGTCTAGCGGAGCCACGAAGAGTGGAAAAAGAGTAAGGTCACCAACGATAAGCCCAAAAGAAACTGACAAGAAAGGGCAGCGAACGAAGAAGGCCACGTCAGGTAAAGCAACACCAGCTGAGCCTGCTAAGCCCCAAGGCCCAGTCCCAGTGGGTAGAAAGAGTGCGCCACCCACGCCGGCTTAACAGAAGGTCAGATTCGATTCCCGAAGTGTAGAAGTTTTACGGCCAAATACACTGGGACAGACCATAAAGAATATAAGGTCACGGCGCGTATAGTCGATAAGAAAACGAATAAAGAGATCGACTCGTATAATCCGTTCGCGGATAGGTCAGTTAAGGATGCCATTGGGGGGGAATCAAAAACGGTAGTCAACGAGGCGCTACAATTTGTTCCTCCGGAAGAACGTCATAACCCAAGAGTTCTTATTCAGATGATGAAGCACGTGGTATCTAAAGTTGCGAACGAAGAAGATGCATGGATCCGCATCAAAGTGGGCACAAATGACGACCACTTGGCATATACATACACAACAGACGGCAAATTGTTGACCAAAGAGAGAACTCGCTCAAAGCCGACGGCGGATCCAGACCCGAAGAAACGATCGTCAGATGATTATGAGTCGGTCCTCAGATATACAGAGGCGACGAGCAGAAAGTTCACCCTCAGACTTTTCGCTGGTAATGGAGAAGTAGTGGAAACTATAACTGCAGTGATAGTCGACCCAATAACAGGAGACCCGATCCCATATGCTCCATGGGATGTATCAGAAGAGAGCGCCCGAAATGCGAATCAGGCAGCGATTGAGCAGTTATGGAATCTAATACCTGAAAGTGAACGGGAAGACTCGGTAGTCCAAGCGAGCACATTGATCAGCATGATGAGGCACCGAGCGGAGATCGACGAAGCGCATTTCCGACTCACAAGACGAATGGAAGACGGATCGTATAAAACGGTGTTTTACGATGCTAAGAAAAACCCTTTGTGGGAGGTCGCCTCACCGGGACAGACGAAAGAGACAGCGCACTTGGAAATTCAGCCCCCGGCACAAGAAGGCGGAGCCGAAGAAACGGAAGAAGCCCAGGGCACATCGACAAACGTAACTGAAACAGGAGGGGCCAGACGTTCGTTACAAAGAGTACTCGAGATTGCCCAAGGAAGTCATGATCACCTTCAGTGTGATGAACCAAACTGTGCCCATTGTAATGCACCTGGCGACGCTGAACCAGAGTCGGAAGATGAGGACTCAGCTGAAGAAGAAGTAGACTCAGATGAGGAAATGGTCGACAAACATAAAAAGCCCTTGAGAGTCGCTAAACAGAGGAAAGCGCCTAAATTGGAAGAAGCTATGAACCGCGAAAAGGTTAAGAAAGGCGAGTTTCTCAAGAAACGAAGGGAAGAGGAAGATAAGAAGAAACGAAAGGAGGAAGAAGATAAGAAGAAAAAGAGCGGTGACGAAAGCGATAGCACAAGCACCGGGAAGAAGAGGACGGAGAGAGAAAAGAAGGATAAACCGTCGTCCCATGATGTCGAAATACTGGACGAATCAGTTGGCGAAGTTGAAGAGAGGTCATCGACACCTACAACTTCAAAGAAGGTCATCCAATCAGCTACATCAAAATCAAAGGTCAATGAGCCTGACTCTCCAAAAACCAAAGGAAAGGTCATAGCGGTGAAACAAGTCGTCCCCATTGTCATTTCCGCATCTACGCCAAAGGAGCGCAAGGACAAACAGATTCGTGAAAAAGCGAAACGGGAGACGTCGCGTTAATCGGAGGCATCGGAAGTGAGCCTTCCAAGCACTTCGACGGTTAGTGCGAGGTCACATACGGATTCGAAAACGACACGATCAAGGACTACTGAACCAAGAAGTCTAGCGGAGGCTTTGGATAAAGGGAAAAAAGCAAAGAGCGAACCCGTTAGAACCAAAGGAAAGGGCAAGACAATTACGAAAATCGATGCATTGGCGCTGGTTAATTATACTGAACCGGATGGAGAGAGCGAACTGGACTTCACCTCGGATGAAGAATTTGATGGTCCAGATGATGATAATTTGACCACGGTCAATGAAATCATCAACGCGTATAACGGAGCTGAGAAAAATTTCACACGAATAAGAACAGCATCGGTGACATCCAAATTCAAAGCGGGCCTGAAGACATATTTGAAGAAACAACGTCGTAGCTTCACTAAACGAAAGTTCGACGTCGTATTGGAATTCGCGCGGAACGCAGGAAAACTTATACAGAAGCACCCGAGTTTTTCGTATGAGGCCAAGTTGTTCAGACCAGCTAGTTCGGATAAAGCGCTGACAACTCCGAACGAAGCCGTCCCAATGCGAGTAGAAAGGGCAATCGCAGGGATGACAAGCGCGTTAGGGTCAACGAGTCACCGGATCAGCCAATACATCAACGCAGTTTGGAACGATGGAAATGGAATGATAAAAGAAATCGATACGGCAACTGAGCGTGTGTAGCCGGCAAGAATGTTAACATGTTCACGGTTCACGCTGTGAGCATATTTGCCGGGCGAAAATGCTCACGAATGAGATTATGCAGGTCATGTGCAGATTTTTCCAGCAAAATGGCACCATAACTTAGAAATGTTTACAGATATGAATTTCTGCTGCTGAAAGTACAAGCGTTCGACTTATGGCGAAACATAAATTTAAAATTACAGTATCAGTAAATGTTTTAGAAAATTACGAGGATTTTAATCAGATACATCTCTCTAGACTGCATGTATTTATCAGTGGCATTAAACTCACAAAAAGAAAACTAAAAACTTTATTTCTGCAAATGGCTAAGGGTTTAACTATTCTAAAAAAGTAATTTTTATTTGTTCAATAATTATGACAGTGAGCAACGAAAGTTGCGCGCGCGGTTTGTTTAGTACGTAAATCATTTGGCTTCCAAAAATTTTTATTACTGTGCAGGTAATTCGTAAACGGGCTGCATTACGTACGGAGCATGGAAATTAAATCCTGGTGGAACAGAACACATACGTCACGTAGAGCAACATTCACATAAATTTCGTCACAAATTAATCACATTCAACAATGCAAAAAAGTGCTCTCGAGGATGCAACAGCTTAAATTATTGAAGATACGCGTGAAAGACCATTTCTCGTTATCTCAACTTCGTAAAACCTTTCCACAAAGTACTACCCTAATTTCTTTCCGTTCTTTCATATTACTCTGTGCTATGCAGTATGCAGTACAGTATGCAGTATGCTATGCAGTATGCAGTATGCAGTATACACTATGCAGTACAGCGCAAAGCGGAAGTATACAGAACGCACTGCACTCATATCTCTGCAGTTGAACACTATTGTACAACGCATAAAGGAGTTGTTGCTTGTTTGTACTTCGGAAAACGGATGGATAACATACATAATTTTTGTGACCTTTGTAAGCATTTCCCACGTTTTCACGTTGTATAAAATCGTATTTGTAAGCATGGACGCCGGGCAGGGATGCTCACGTTGTAAGACTGCAGTAACCGGACACCGCTAAGGCGCTAACATCAAACGATCTCGTAGGCAGCTACAGTACTCTCCATGTCTGCAATGCAGACTCTGCGTGCAGGCGTCTCGTATTACGATCGTGAACATGGGTGCCGGGCGGGGATGTTCACGTTTGTGAGCACGCGTGCCGGGCGGGATGTTCACGTCTGTAGCTGTATGGTAATCGCCGAAATGAACGGTAATATAAATTGCTCTTATTGAAAGCTGATAAGAAGCGCTAATTCTCTATTAAGGCTGATTCTCTCGAGCACTGCGCGTGTCTTAATAATACTCGTAAACAGTCAGCAACTTAGCGTTGTGTTCATGCGTATTTATGCCGGCGGGGATATTCATTTTTTGAATCAAAAACCAAGGATGTTGAATCGTCGATTATGGATGCTTACTGTAACTGCATGGTAGCTCCTCTGAATAAATCGCTCTTTCATTGGATTAAGCGTATTTGGGTTTAATTGATTGTACAATAACTTAAGAAAAATGACAAAAACAACAAAACAAGCTCAGTAACAAATTTTTCCAATAGGAAAATAAATATTTTTGTCATTTCAAAGAAACATTCGTACATACCACATTTGACTACACTCGTGAAATTTTTCCCTTCAGAATGCCCACAAGAAATTTTCCTTAATCACAAATTTTTGATACTACAAAAAAAGCAGGGCGCTATCCACTGGAAACCGAGAAATGGCTGAAAAAGGCGCCGATGGCGGGGGGAATCGAACCGCGGCTACGTCGTTAGATCCGCGTAGGCAGCACCACTGCACCACGGCGCAACACGTTGAAATCATTTGAAAGATTTTGTCGCTATACGTGAGCGTGAGCCGCTACTCCGCTCACATTACAGTATCTAAAAAAAAAGCAAAAAGCGTTGTGGAAGGTGTAAGAGTATAAATAGGCGGCAATGAATATCTGTACATATTGTAGTATCAGTAGGAACACAGTACTGTATACATAACGTTTTAGTTTTCCAAAGTTAGGCGTTTTAGTTTCGACTGAAAGTACCAGTCACTCTGCTGATCGAGTTTACCCACTGACAATTTTCGGCATCTGCTTTGGTGCACCGCAGCCGCGCGATGTACAGGTGCCCAAATAAACATACACCAAGTAAACCTGTTTTGCCCCTATTCCAACATCCAGCTTGTTACACTCTGTACTTGCATCTGTTGGTTGTTTATACCTATTCTACCTTGATGCTTGCTTTTTTACAGCTTTCGAACTTTATTAATTTTGTAATCTGTCTGGTAGCCGGCATGTATGTAGAGACTGTAGTCGGAACTGCGCTCGTTAACATGGGCGCCGGCCCGCCGGGCACCCATGTTCACAAAACATGAGCATCCCTGCCCGGCACCCATGCTCATGACCGCAATGCATTAATAATAAATCAGCGCTTTTGAAATGTATAAAAGAGCGAAAATTGGTAACGGTATCCAGTTACGGCACACTGTGCGGTGCATAGTGTTGACAAAATATGTGATGAAGAATTTGTATACTTCAGTATGGATCATGGATGGATACATCACCAAACATGTTGTTAAATAGTTAAAACAGCAAATATTGCCTAACATGTCAATGCACGAAATTTGTTTCATTGTCGTTCCAAATCAGCAGCAAGAAATATCCCGTCTTGTGTTGTACGGTAGTGCACATATCAGAGAGCAGTTTGTTCCCTTTTCATACTGCTCTATCTTGCTTGTTAAATCATTTTATTAGCCACAGATAAATCGTAAGTTAGGAAAGACTACTTTGTGGACACTTTGTAGATTTTTATATTGCATTATTATCATCTTTATTTATTTACAAACTATGTTTTGAGAGCGTTGCGCGTACTGTATTTACACGATATTAAGGGAACGACATCTTTGACATTTGACATCAAAGGAACCGACAACTAGTGCGGGCGGTCCTGGGGATTTCTCTGTCCCTTATATCGTGTAAATACAGTACATGTACTTCAACTTTTGTTTTCGAATCCACCAAAAGACTTTTTTGTTTTATGTTTGGATTCGGCAGCCAAACGAAGTGAAAATTTCCATACATTATCAGTTCGCGAGTGCGTGTTATTCTTTGCGTCATGAGATAATTACGACAAAAGAAAGCGAGCGATACGTTAATTCCTTTTTTTAATCAATCAATCAAATACTTTTTTTAGTCAGTTTTTATTTTCGCTCCATTTAACTGTGAGTACCAGTACGGAGAATTTTCATTTGAAACTGGGTTATTTGCTTCTTTATAAAACGTTTATATAGGTAATCAAATTTTGTAGATTCATTTTCATGGCCAGAAAATGTGAGCATACCCGCCCGGCACGCGTGCTCACAAACGTGAACATCCCCGCCCGGCACCCATGTTCACGAGCATATAGCAGACTGGCTAGCGTACAGCCACGCAGAGTGACAAGTGCCTCTGATCTGCTTGCAACGGCGGCTCACATCAGCACTATCCGATTACCACACAGTAGCAAACGTTAGCATCTCCGCCTGGCATCTGTGCTCATTAATGCAATAAAGAATCTGATCAATAAACATTAATTTTCGTAATCTTTCCTGTTCTGCTCGAAAAATCACTGGGTGAGAAAATTATTATTATTCAAAAACATACAGTATTCCCATTACTTATTGCTTAAAAGCTGGGCAGTGAATATTTTACCGGATGTAGCGCCACCTGGATCAAAACACAAAACCGCGTTATGTTGCTGCAGTTTTAAAGTTCGGGTGCGTAACATTTCGATTTGTCGTGCAGAAGTTGGTTCAAAATGGAATGAAGGAAAAATTAACACATTACGTGCATGATATCATTCGTGAGCATTTTCGCCCGTCAAAAATGCTCACAAGCATTTTCGCCCGGCAAATATGCTCACAGCGTGAACCGTGAACATGTTAACATTCTTGCCGGCTACAAGCGTGTACTGCCGAGACTGATTAAACAGAATGTCCTTGCTACAACAAACGCAAATAAAGGACATCCAATCCGATACACGAGAGTTGGTTTGATACCACCGGAAAGACAGATCCACTGTCATATGTCTGACAGTCAGGATACGGAAAAGGTCACAGTTCCATTGAGCGGAGACCCGTCAACTCCGATATTGGATCAGATTGCACAGAAAACGGCTGAAGAAGAAGCGGCGAGGCTGAAATCACAAGCCCCGAAAGCGTCGAGGACAAAAGGACCAATGGACTCGGAATCGGGAAGCGATGACGATACTACAGTAACGGCTCCTTCTGGAACTGTGACAGAAAAAGACGAACAGTCAAAAGGTCGAAAGACATCTGGAACCGCCGCAGAAGTTCAACCGAAAGGTCACGAGACTTCGGGAGAAAAGCGGGAGAAAGAAAAGGTCATGCTCCCGATGGACAAAGCAGCGGCAGAAGCAGAAGCGGCCTCTGCGCGCCAGGTGTTTCAGAAATCATTGTTCATACCACTAAAGGAAGTCTTTGAGAAAGAGCGATCGAAGTCAGCAGGTGAAGTGGGAGGTCATGAGACTTTGCCACAAAAGGAAAAGAAGACAGCAGAACCGAAATTGGCGGGGTCATCATCAGGATCATTGGCAAAGCTGAGGATTGACGAAACGGCGACAACTGACCCAACGGATTCGGCATCCTCTCAGAAGAGTAGCGGCACGCCAAGAAAGGAGGCTACAGATTACACGCTAGGACCAGCATTGGACGTGAATAATCGTACATGGAACGAAGTCCAGGCTGCGCTCCAGATCATTCGAGAAAAAGAAATGCTTGGTACAGACCTGAAAAGACAAGTGGCAATAAATACGAACGGAAGGTCGTCACTCAACATGACTGAACGAGCCCTGAAACGAGCATAAAAGGAAGGAAAGTTGGGATGTAAATACAACAAGGACAACAAAGTCGTCTACTACCTTCCGAAACAGGGTCAGGAACGAACACCCAGACTGAAAATGGAACTGGAGGCCTGGAAGATAGCCATTACAGACGTGGCTTTGGACGCCATCGGTGGTACCAATGGAGCGTCATGGAATGACCTTTCGAACTTCATGGTCGTCAATTACGAATTGGGAGAGCTGAACATTGAAAGTGATAAAGAATGGATTAAGAATGCCGTCGAAGCCTTGATCGCAGACGAAGTGCTTCACATTAATCCAGATGGCCGAATTGACTTCAAGCCGTATAAACCACCGGCGAAGGAGTCCGAGTGAACGAGACGAGTGTAATATGCAGCGAGTAATGAACCCTGCATATTACAGAAAAA